GTGAATTCTCTCACCCTCCCGTGCTTCTGACTGTACCCAGTGCTTGTATAAATAAATAAATAAATCTTTTAAAAAAATAAAATAAAAATAAAATAAAATAAGACTTAGTAGGTTGCCCACCCTTTGCCAAAATAGATAGTCACATTGATACCACACTTCACATTTTGTAAAGCTCTTCACACATCCTTGTTTTGTTTTAATTTTCACTATAGTTTTGAGTAGCATGATTATATAGAATCTTAAAGACCAGGAAATTCAGACTTAGGGTGAAGGGACTTGTTCAAGATCTCTCAGCCAAGAGGCAGGAAATTGGATCAGCTAAGAATGCAAACTAAGGTCATCTTGACTCATCATTATTAAGAGCTATCTTTATTAAGTTTATTCTTTTCTACTCCTGCAAGGACTCAGAGCTCTTTGCCTCCTGTATATCATCATAATTTATCTTTTTTTTTTTTTAAAGATTTATTTATTGATTGATACAAGCACTGGGTACAGTCAGAAGTGTGGGAGGGTGAGAGAATTCACCAGAGCCAGAGCAGGGAGCAGAACAGGCAGAAGGACCGAAGTACACTGCTGAGGGGAGCAGCGGGCGGCAGGAGAGGTCTGCGCGCCATGTGGGACCCTCGCCCAACAGCCGGGGATCGAACCGGCGCTGCAGAGGCTGCGGGCAGCCTCGCAACCCAGCGCTCAACCGCTGCGCCACCGGGGAGGCCCCATCATAATTTATCTTTAAAAAATCTAATGCTTAGGCCTCCTTGGTGGCCTCAGGGTTAAGTCTCAGTGCTATCACCGCTATGGCCTGGGTTTGATCCCAGCCAGGGAGCTAACCCACATACTGTGCAGCATACTTCTCTTGTCTCTACTGCTGTTCCCCTCAGGAGTGTATTTCAGTAGATCTGCCTGTTCGGCTCCCCACTCTGTCTCTGGTGAATCCTCTCAACCCAGCACCTCTGGCCTACACCTCAGTTCTTCTACGCAAAAATTAAAAAAAAATCCAATGCTGTAAAAAAGTTCTTGTTTTATTATTTTCAACTGTATTTATTTGTTGAGGTAATGTTGGTTTTCAATACTGTGTATGTCAGCACCCCATGGCTGCCACCAGAGCACCCATAGCCAGCACTGCACCATAGACTACAGGTCCCCTCACCACCCTCCCGTCCCCTTCTCGAGCTTCAGTTCTACAATCATCTTTCTAGTATTTGTTTTGGTTTAGTTTTGTCGGTTACTTTCTTTTGCTTCTCTATATTTCACATGTGTGAAATAATCCAGTATTTGTCTTTTTCTTTCGGATTTATTTCACTTGGTATAATCCCCTTTAGTTCTATCTATGTTATTGAAAAGGGCAATATTCATCTTTTTTTTTTTTTTTTTAATGGCTGGGTAGTATTCTATTGTGTATATACCAGCTCCTTGACCCACTGCTCTGTTGTACATTTAGGTTGTTTCCTTAGCTTGGCTATTGTAAATAGTGTTGCAGTGAACATAGGAGTGAATCTCTCTTCAAATTAGTGTTTTTGCTTTCTTTAGGTAGGGTAGAATTTCTGGGTCATATGCTATATCTTTTAAGTATTTTGAGCAATCTCTGTACTGTTTACCGTTGGGGCTGGACCACTCTACATTCCCACCAACAGTGTAAAAGTGTTCCTTTTTCTCCATATCCTCACCAACATTTGTTGTTTCTGTTTTGGGCTTTGTATTTTTTTTTTATATATGGACCCTTTTCATGGGAGTGACGTGGTAGCTCATTATGGTTTTGATTTGCATTTCCCTGATGATAAGTGATGATGAACATTTTTTCATGTGCCTGTTGGCCATCTGTATGTCTTCTTTGGAGAAGTATCTATTTAACTTTTCTGCCCGTTTTTTAATTGTGTTCTTTGTTTTGTTTTTGTTAAGTTGCATGAGTTCTTTATAGATCTTGGATATTAACCCCTTGTCAGATTATGATGTGCAAATATTTTCTACCATTCAGTAGGGTTGATAGTTGCTTTCACTGTATAGAAAATTTTTAGTTTGATTCTTGTTTTTGCTTTTGTTTTCCTTGATTCAGAGCTGCTGCTGGTGGTAGCATTAGGTTGGATAAGAAATTTTTCAGAAGGCCTTTTCCCTCCCACTTAAGGATTAAAATGGGCAATCAATGACTGCTCTGATTTTGCTGAAGATGAGCTATGTGATGAGAAAGACAGGAATCTTCCAAACCCTGGGAAAAGACAAAGAAAAGAAAAAGGAAGGCCCACCTCTCTCCCATGTAAGGCTGAAGAAATGGCTGCTGGTCACAAACCTGGGCCTATGGCCTTCTGTCTGAGTCCCGCTGTCACCCAAACCCAGGTGGGACTTCCTGGTTTAGGGAAAGCAGGAGGGGGTAGAAAGTGAGGGCCCTGTGGATTTTAATTATTTACAGAACTGACTGCTGAGTGGTATGATCCAGGGACTAAATGGAGTTTTTTGAATATTTACTCCTTTGAGAGGCACTATATATAACAGCATTTTTTTAATATGTACCATCGATGCCCTTGTAGACTCATATTAACTTTTCACAGAAAACTTTTTCTTGTGCTAATAAAACTGAATCTCAGTTTCCCTATCTATGAGATGAAAATGCTGTTTTTAGACTTTCATGGAGTCCATTTCTATAAAGTCCTAGAGTTTCTGTGGAGAAAGGAGTAATACAAGTTCAGACCATCAGTGTTATTTCAATATTTTTTCCCAAAGAGGAAGGAGGAATTCCAGTAAATTTCAGATAGATCCATTAAATTTTTCTTCTGTGTGTACATATTGTGTTTGTTTGATTTCCTTCTAGGGAATTGGATGTTTGTCTTCATAATGGCTATCATAGATTTTTTTCTAAAATTAAATGTTATGCTTAGTCCTATGTCCATAATACACTTTTAAAAAATACTACTTTTGTGAGAGGGGTGTCTTTTTAAGCCTTTCTCCATTAAAAAAAAAAAGTTTTTGTTAATTGATTGGCATATTCTTCATTGTCTATAATAAATAAAATTTACATCATATTTGTACAGGTTAGCACTGCCCGATTAAATCTGAATTTCAGATCAACAAATTAGTATGTGAAATTCAAATTTAGCTGGGCATTCTGTTTTTCTATCTACTCAATCTGGCAACTCTGAAGTAGGTATAGCCCCCACTTACTTAGAGTGACCACTAGTTGGCAGTTGAACAAAACTAAGGGACAGGACCCTGTGTACTGATGTTTGAAGTCCTGCTTTCTCCAGGAGACAGATGGAAGCTTTAGCTCTATGCTTCTATGATCTGAAATATCAAGTAGCTCCCCCAGAAAGATTCTCAAAAATCTGTTATCAATGTAATCATCATGAAAATATTTGATGAGAACACTGCATCACGCTGTATAATAAATTTAAGTAGAAAAGTCAAAGCAGTGGTATTTTCATCAGGCCTTTGGATGTCAGGAGAAAATAGTTCCACACTCAGCGAATATAGATAGGTCTGTTTGGGGCTGTGTTAAATCCAATTGTGTGGAGGTTCTGAATAATCAGGAGTGACAGCATAAGCGCTTTCTCTTCAAAGTGATTTTACAGAGAGCATTATTTCCTAAGGAAAGTACACATATAGCTCTCATAATGCTGAAGGAGCACTAATGTATCAATTTATGGGTGCTGGTTTCATGAGCTGGAGTGGCAAATTGTATTCAGATTTTAAACTTTGCTCACTGGTACTGTTGGGACAAGTTCCCTTCCCATGATAAACTTATTTCAAAATTTTCTAGAACACTTATGTAGTTCCCATGTGAGAAAGCCTTCAAGACTCTCTGCTGAAGGTTCTAACTTTTTTGCACAGCCAACTCAAACATGATGAAAAACAATAGTTTAGTTTTCCTCAATAAAAAGGGGAAAAAAGAATTTGAGTTGGGCTATGTAATTTCAGCTTCCCTAAATAAGTCCTTCGGAAAATTGTGGGGGGAGCAAGTGTGTGATTTTGGTCTTGGCGCACAACTTTGGAACTAACATTTTTTAACATCTACCATGGATTTTCATAACGGATTTCTTCCCTGTACGATATGTTCCTTAGTTAAGTAATAGGTTTAATGTGGGTGCCACATCTTTCAACAGCTTTTACTTTCCAGAGGAGGGTTAAGTAGTTCTCTTAATAACTTGAAAGAGAAGAAAAAAAAAATTAAGGTTTACCACAGTTCTTAGTCACAGGCTAAATGTTTTCAACAGTTTTATTACTTTGAGCCTATTTGGTCTCAAGAACATCCCCCAAGAATAATGAAGCATAGAGTTCAAAATGGAGAGTTCGGAAACAGACATAGTGCTTTTGATGTCAAAGCACGCATCCCTACTATCTTTCTGTTGTCTTGTGTGCCGAATCTTTTTGGTTCCATTTGTCACCTCCTCTCTGTAAATCATCTTGGAACCAGTAAGTGTACTGACTCATGGATGCTTCATATTTTCATACAGTATGTGTTCGTTTTGGTGCCGTTGGCAGAGAAGTAGCATCCATTTCCCTCAGATCTTAATGAGTGTGGACAGATAGTTTTATTTTCCCTCATCATTAAAAGTTATGCTTCATGTAAGCAGGAAGAGTCATTTTCATTAAAAGTAAACACAGAATCAATGGCCATAGCAAATTAATTGGTCTGTTGCTCAGCTTACTCTTGTCTGAGTAAATTGTCATCACTCTCCTGGGCCTTAAATCTTCCCCACTCTGCCTATAAACCTGATCATCCCCCCTATTTAAAATAAAAAAGTGCCTTCTCTCAACCTGTTCAATTACTGACCGTGCTGCTTCTCATTACTGCAGAAGCTCTTAAGCCAATATGTGACACTCTCTGTCCAGTCTCTCGTGGGTGCATTATTGTGGGGTATGTCCAGTGCCACTGCTGTAGGTGACGAAGACAAATATTGTCTCTACATCACCTTGTGGATAGAGCATGTTCCTGAGTCCACTGTGAGTGATGCACATTCAAAGAAGCTTATGCAGAACATTTTCTCACCTTTCCCTTTGTTTTTTTTTTTTAGGTATCTCAGTAACAAAGAAGACGCATACATGTAAGTAATGCATTTTTTTTTGCCCAAAGTTTTCTGAAGAGTTGGAAGTCACATATGTCTGGCTGCTGTGACCCTTCAAGTATAAACTTATGTTTCAGCTGTGCTCCATGGTCAACAGAGGTCATACTTTTCTACCTGTAGTGGTTGGAAGTGATACATCTCCACCTGTTTGTATTGAGTGTGTGTTCAAGAGAGTTTAGGCATATTTTGATGAATTCTGGTGACTCAAGCCTTTAAACTTTAGAAAACATCAAATTTAGATGGGGGATCAACTAATTACTTACTGATCGCCCTTACTGTGGATCCTTCTTATGAGAGTCGGTATGTTTCTAGGAAACATCACCTTGATTTCTTTTAAACTTTGGTCTCTTTTTACTCACTACCAGTTCACAATGTAGGCTGTTTTGTACTTGTGTGTGTGAAGCAGAGAGACTGACTGGAAATAGAGGCGCTGTCGCTTGACCCTGAATGTGTCCTATGAGGGCCCTGGTAAATGGCATCGGTATTTGGATGTGGAAAAGTGCACTGGGTTTATACTCTGTATTCATCCCCACTTCTCAGGTTCAACTGCTTTCATCAATTGCCTTCATTCAAACGACACCATAAATTTACAAGTTCACGTCAATGTAAAGTGTTGTGATTTGCAATCTGAGCGATGTTTGTGCCTTGAACCTCAGGATGAAAGGAATACATCATTGGTATAGGCAGTCAAATGTCACTGTACTTGGCCAGCATATTACTTAGAATTTGAGTTAACAGTGTCATTAGTACTTGGTGACTATTTTAGACCACAGATTTGTGTTACCTATGAGATGTGTCTGGGCTTCCTTCTAAGGCAAGCAGGGGAAATATTTATGGCACAACTTAGGGCTGACAAGTCATATCCCCCAACTTTTCCAAATTATGTTTGTAAGGTTTTTGATTTCATGTGAAACATTTGGGGGGAAAAAAATCTGTGTAACATCAAAGTAGTATTCTTGTGCCTCAGTTGATTCTTGAAATCTGCTCTTGGGTTTGTCTGTCTGTCTATCTGTATTTGTAGAAGAACAAAAGAGGGGAAAAAAAGACCAAAATCAATAGCTGCCTGACTTTTAGCACCAAGTCCTACAGTCTCTCCACGTGGCTCTCCCATGGGCTTCAATGGAATGTTTGTTTGAGGAAAGATCGAAAGGTCAGGCCTCTAATGGATACATGCTTAGGACAGCACCTTCCAGCTCTCGATGCACAGTTCCAGCTAGCTGTCCGTCCCTCCACCAGGGTAGTCTGTAGCCCTTAGCTTTTTGGGGGTTGTTTTGTCATCGTCGTCGTTGTTGTTCTTGCTGTTGTCGGTGCATAATTGAGCTCATGATGACTGAGAGATTGACAGTGCAGGAGACTGAAGTCCTCTGTATATCCGCAGGGCAGGCATGGTACAGAGCGCTTCCTTGCACAGCCTTGCCCATGAGCTCGTCCCTGGCCTGGAGGGACCCACTCTAGAGGTGGTAAGTAATTCAGTCTTTCTGCTAGCTCAGTCCTGGGCCTCTCCTGAACAGAGGCGGATGATTGTGCCTATTGTTTATGGTGGTTTGGTGTATGAACGCCTGACCACCTGGCAATATTCGGAAAGCCACTGACTGTTTGCACTATGACTTGGCTCTTGGATAAGTGGACAAAACCACTAGTTCAATTCCACTATTACACAGAGTACCCCTCAACTAATAAGACAGTGACTATAGATATTACCTAATATCTGTAGCATTCATCTGTTGGAATCTTCAAGGAACTGTCATCCCTGAGAATAATTGTATCAGCCTATTAAAGAAATAATAACCTATGATTGGATTTATGGAAGGACTTAGGTGACAGCATGAAAGTGGTGGCTAGTGAGGAAAAACTCAAGTCTCAGGAAGAGGCACTATAACAAAGTTGACCTTTCAGCAAAGACTTGGCCAAGTATATTTAGCTATAAACAAAAGCAAGATATAGCCAGTGTGGATGGATTTCAAGTGCCTTTCTCACCATGAAAAATCAATAGGAAAATTCTTAGACATTAGACATAAAGTAAGTTAGGTAGACTTAAAGTTCCCTTTATGTAATTCAGATGTTAAGTGAACAGAAAGATTTGGGACAGGATTCGTCTTGGTGTTTTGGTTGATGTTTACTTTCTCGAATAATGGGAGAGGGACCAAAATAAAATGACCGAATGTAAAGTTGGGAAGAATAGCACCCGAGGAGACAGTTGATAACAAAAGTTTGCACATGCCAAGGAGAAATTGAATTGTCCAAGAGGCATCTTAGTGAGAGTCTTCCATGCCACTTAAATGTGCAGATTGTTTTTGTCACCCAACTCAGCAGACGGCCTATCAGATTTCTGATCTTAGCATCTCTAAAGGGCCCACAACTTGTGAGGAGAAAGAAAATCAATCAGTTCTTTCTCTAGTAACAGTCATCCAAATGACTTCTTCTTTAGCATCTGTCGGATTTTTCTTGGAAACTGAACTGTCCCAACTTGCCTATAAGTTTTCCTAAGATGTTAAATTCTAGCACCTCTTAAATCATCTTGACATCTATTCTTCAAAAAGTTTCACTATCAGTGAAATGTATGAATTCATTTTTGTACTGTCTCAAGACTTCCATTTTTAGCCTGGGTTCTGGAAACCTTGGTAAGAACTTGAGTATATAATCATGGACAGCTGAAGTCACCCCCCATTAGCAATTTCAATCTGGTTTCCTAACTGCCCTCACAAAAAGAGTGTTCAACTTACAAATTAACATGTACAGTTGCAGAATATATTATCAGACCAGAATGTCAGCTCACAAGTACACCAGTCAGAGGTGTGGAAACTACAAAATGAACCTGAATAGTTGTGACACCCTATAATATTTTAGGCTACATTGTTAAGCACAGATACTCCTTAATAATAATAATAATAATAACAACAATAATAATAATTTGGGCTCACTTAAGGAAGAAATTCCCCAGGAAGGAAATCTGATTGCTAGCTTTCAAGAGCCCCTAAGCATATTCTTTGGAGAACTTGGGATTTTCTGAGTTCTGGAGAAGGGCACCTTGTGTTTGTCATTAACTTCACTTGGCTGATGGAGGAAGGCAAAGTTTTGGAGCTTCTAGAACAAAGTCATCATGACCAAATTGGTCAAGGAATTCTTACACTTCAGGTGCTCTTCAACTATTGCTAGGAAATGTTGCTGTCAAATTTTGGTGTATGAACATAAAAGGGAGTTTTTTCTTGTGGGATAGGGACATATTAGATAAATTTTACATGATGATACAGAATTTCTGTTTTTCATGGTGATTTTATAGCACCTGTGTTTGGTTAGATACTTTTAAGATTGTTCTTGCTTTGGTGTTTCACAAGTTTGTTCTGGTCTCTTTCCCACTGAAATAGTACCATGTGGATAAATGTCTTTTTATTGGCATCAATTGCTGTCTTAGTTTTTATTATTTGCCAAAAACAACTGGTCATTTGCTCCTTACTTCTTAATCCAATTCTACTTGGATAGTTTTGCTTGCACTAAAATGTTAGAAGATGACAAATATGGAGGTAAAAAGTAAAAAATGCTACAGATCCTGTAAGCTATTCCAGCTACTGGGAAATTTAGCCTCACAGAGTCATAACCCAAGAGAATATAGCTGCCAATCACCACAATGCAGACCCAAAATGTGCCTGGTAGGACCCTGAACTGTTTCCAGAGGCAACAGACCATTCTCACTTCTTCCTGTTCTCATCCTTGTTTATATTCGTTATTCTTCCTGTTGAAGTCTGTTCTGCTTGCTCTCTTCCACACTCAGAAACAGACAGGCATTTACAAACATGCAAAAACTGTGGGTCACTCAATTAACAATTAGGAAAATGTGTCAATTTAATCTAACCTATTGTCAGTTTTCCCCCAGTAAAAAGCAAAATAAAATATGCTTCCTAACTTCAGAATTATTTTAACACAATTAGCCTTTAAAAGGTAATTTAGTATCTATTCAGTTGTTTGATTGCAGCAAGCTAACACCTAAAACATAAAATCAAAGCACCAGGTTATTTACAAAGATGTTTTATTTCTCGGTAGCAAAAAATATTTTAGTGCAAATCAGAATATTTCCTTGAGAAATAGTTCTTTGTTTCTGCATGAAGAAAAAGTGTTTATTGCAATCATTTAAAGTGAAATAGGTTAATGTATTCACTTTTCTCCCCCAGAGACTTGGCTTTGAATTTGACTTAGAGAAAATTAGTTTTGAGGCCTCAACCTTCTCTCCTTAGGCATTTGTTGATACCACAAAACCAACCCAACAATTTGTCAAGATTGTGGCCATTTACTCAGGAGGTCCAAGAATTAGAATAACCTTATTTTCTCATTTTCTGTGCCTTTTCTTGAGGCCATTCCTTTTGATTGTAGACTCTTAGCAACCTCAAACTTGGGGCTCACCCACATTATTTTCACAGTCCAGGAAAACTCAGGAACCATTGTTGGCAAAGCTAATGGAAGGTACTTTGGTTATATGGTTAATAGGTTGTCGTGACAACCCATGTGACTCATGGTGTGACTCACAGCAATTATAATGTCAGTTGCTGACACATTGTTTCATTAGGATGGACCTGAGAAGAAGCGTCGCTGAAGTTCTTTTAGTAGGCTTTCATCCCGTGTACACATTGACAGTGAGGAAAAGGGATAACCATGTGCTCACAAAGTAGCCAAAGCATATATTCTTAGCTTGCAAAGGCTACTGGCCATCCCATGCCTCAAGTTTGTTGACAATGGAACTTGACCAAAATGCAAGTGCTTTTGGAGACCTAAATCAGTGGACAACTGTTTTTTGAAGACCTACTATGTATTGAAAGATTCTTTGTCTTCAAGGAGTTTCTAGACTAGGTTGAAAGTAGAGGGACATACTCACAGAAAACAATATCGCACACAAATACCAACTGTGCCATCTCCAGAAGATTCAGCTCTCAACTAAAAGCACATTAAACTGGAAGTGTGGGAGAAGAGAAAGAATTATCTGGACCATTCAGAATTCTGATACTGTGATCCAACCTAAATATCAAAGAAGGGAAAGTGAAGAATTTAACTCAGGGTGCTAAAAACTATGCCCGCTGTGCATTTCCACCCATTCTCAGCAGAGTAACAGCTATTTATTCCCAGCAAAATCAACAAGTCCAAGGGAGTCACAATCCCCTGTGCTGCTTGGAAATGTTTGCCTTGTTTAGAGTCAGCCTGTGTGACTAGAACCAAGCCCTCTTGAGCGTAGCAGGATTTCTGTCTCATGTTAAAATACAGATGAACTGGGCTTGGTCCTACCAGTCAGTTCTTCCAAGGTAGGAGATTTGCATAGTCTTAGAACCCACAGTTCGTGGTGGGGATCTTTGTATTCCATAGAAAAATAGAGTATTTAGCTGTTTGCATCAGAGCATTAGTAGGCATCAGATTCAAAAATTGAATTTCAACTAAAAGTATTTGCCTTCCCATTTCATAGCATAGGTTCCAGAGTGGATTGAGATAGTGAGTGCTTCTTTAAAATTCATGATCACTACTACAGAGAACTAACCCAAGACAAACATAACCATGAAAGTCAAAAAAAATGCCCAGGGAATGGAAATATCTATCAAAAGATACATACAGAATTAAACATCTTGGTTTGAACATACTTAAATGTCTAGCCTACCAGGTACCAATATGAACCTCATAATTTTATCATATATTTAATAAAACTCTTACACATGTTTGGGATTATCTTCAAGAATCAGATGTCTATTATAAAAGTTTGCTTCACTTCTAATTCAATATTTATAGCAACAGGAGTATAGAAGTACCTATCGGGAGCTGTAGTGGCAGCAGCAGCAACAAGAGCTACCACCTGGCAATCCTAATATTCCAGGCGTGTGTTTAGTGTTTTATGTGGATTATCTCATTTAATCTTTCTATCAGTTCCATGAGTTCTGTACTACTTAAAACCCATTCTAAAATTAAAATGCATATTTATCAAATAAATCAGTAAGTTAACTTAAAGAATTAAAAAAAAAAAAAACTTGCACACTCATCCATTTAATAATGGGTAGAGCCAGGACTCAAAATAGAGTATTAATGAGCATGGACTCCTTGCATGCGCATAAATGCCACTGTTATCTCCAATCTCAATGTTAGATAATAGTTATGGAGCACTTACAAAGTGCTAGATGCTTTTCTAAGCACTTTGTAGATATTAATTTATTTAATCTTTACCACAATCTTCTGAGGTAGGTATTGCTACTATCCCCACTTACGGAAGGAAACTGAAGCCCAGCGTCTTACTAATGTGTGGTTGAGCCAGGGTTTAAAACCAAACTGCTGAGCCTAAATATTTCTAGAATGCAGAACTTCATTCCTTAGGGTGGTCTTTTATCCTAAAATATTGGAAGAAGGATAAGTGTAGTCATTCCTAAAAATGACTCAGTGTTTGTTTCTGTTTTTTTTTTAACCTAAATCTATTTTATCTATAAAAGATGCTAAGTTT